CCCTAGTGAGCACAGCAGACGTAATCTCTCAGGTACTGTGGGGCCTACAACTTCTACTTGATCTCCTGACAACAGGTGTTGCAGGTTCTGGATTGGGTGTTACCTGTGGTAGAGGGGCTGCTCTAGGGGTTTCGTCAGGAACAGATGGAGTCCCCGACATCTCAGGGTCCCCTATCTGTACCTCGCCATCGTGAGGACTAGCAGACCCTGGTTCATTTGTTAAAGCCCCTGGTGATTGCACCTTTGGGCCATTTTCACTCTGGTCTTGCGGCTCTGCGTCGTTAGCCTGGGATGAATTATCTGGCTCCTCCCTGCTGAGCGCCCGGCGCCTCAGCTGATCTATATGTCTCTTCCACACTTGCCCATTTTCCAAGGTCACATAATAGGACACAGGTCCACTAGCCCGGGTGACCACACCAGCCACCCACCTCGAACCTCGTGAATAGTTCCTCACCCAGACCAGATCTTCAGGGGCGAGATACCTTGTTGTGTCAGTCTCAGCCTGGGGAGTTGCTCTTGAATTATGGTTTGGCATTTTATCCGGGTGGACATAATCCAGCACCGTTACCAGTCTCCTACCCAAGAGCAGCTCAGCTGGCGACTTGCCCGTTGCGGTACACGGCGTCGCATGCTGCAAAAATAACATTCGCGCGATGCGAGCTGACCAGTTACCCTCCATTAAGCACGCAATGGATTCTTTGGCTGTTCTTACCCTGCGCTCAGCCTGCCCATTGGAGGATGGGTGAAAGGGCGCGGATGTTACCCCTCTTATGAAGTTATCAGCCAAGAATGCCCTGAATTCTTGGGATACAAAAGCTGCCCCATTATCTGATACAATGGTCTCAGGTAACCCGTGGGTTGCAAACAGCTGCCTCAACACCTTGATGACGGCAGCTGATGCCATGCTAGGGACCATCGCCACTTCTAACCATTTGGAATATGCATCAACGATAACCAAAAAGACCTTTCCTTGGAATGGCCCAGCAAAATCTAAGTGCAGCCGGCTCCAGGGAGATCTGGACTGCTCCCACCAGTGGACTGGTGCTCTGGCCACTTCTGGCCGCATCTCTTGGCATGCCTTGCATGTTCGTACCCATTGTTCTATGTTCTGGTCCATTCCAGGCCACCACACATAACATCGGGCTAGCGACTTCATCCTGACCATTCCCGGATGTCCCATGTGAAGCGTCTCAAGAACCCTGTTTCTCAGTGGTGCTGGAATGATGACCCTATCTCCCCACAGGAGACAACCCTTATGCATGGACAACTCGTGCTGCCTAGTCGCATAAGGCCTGAATTTGTCTTCATGCGGACCACCTGACCACCCCCTCCCCACCCAAGTGAGCACACGGGAGAGAACAGCATCTTTCCTCGTTTTCTCAGCTATATCAGTAGCCGTTACAGGAGCCCCAGAAGTGTTTCCAGCATCATTATGTGCTCCGCTGGAGCAGGATCCTCAGTGCTCCCGCCAGGAAGGGGCAATCGACTCAGCGCATCCGCGTGGCACAACCGTTTCCCCGGCACATGGGTCAAGGTGTACTGGAACCCGTTCAGGAATATAGACCAACGTACCATTGTGGCGTTTGTTTGTTCGGGTTGAACAACCCTAACAGTGGCTTGTGGTCCGTTTCAATGTAGAAATGGCGACCGTACACATAATCATGGAACTTTTTGATTCCTGCCACAATTGCAAGCGCCTCTTTGTCAATTTGAGCACAGTTGCGCTCCGTGGGCGACAACATACGGGAATAGAAAGAGATGGGCTTTTCCGACCCATCCGGTTCCCTATGACTTAGCACCGCCCCCAGGCCGTATTGAGAGGCATCACATGCCAGGACCAGAGGCTTTGACTCGTCATAATGAGCAAGGACACTCCTGCTACTCAGCATTCCTTGCAAGGAGTCAAAAGCCTTCTGCTGCCCCTGCCCCCATCGCCACACAGTCTTTTTCTGCAACAGTCTATGTAATGGTTCAGCTACCGAAGCTTTCTGGGGTAAGAACGAATGATAAAAGTTAATAAGTCCCAGGAATGACTGCAACTCCGTCTTGTTCTGTGGTCGTGGCGCCTCGATGATGGCCTTAATCTTAGCATCTGTGGGGTGGATGCCTGATGCATCAATTTTAAACCCCAAGAAATCCACAGTTGGCACCCCAAAACTGCATTTTTCCTTTTCCAGTTGCAACCCCACCTCCTTGAACTTGAGCAACACTGCACGAACACGCGCAACCAGTTCCTGTGGGTCTTTTCCAGCAATCAAAACGTCATCAAAAATGGCAAGACCCCCGGCAGACCTCTTAACAGGTGTTCCATGAGCCCTTGAAAAATCCCTGGGGCCACACAAACTCCAAATTGTAATCTGTTAACTCTGAACGCCCCTTTATGTGTGACAATAGTCTGTGCTTCCGCTGATTGTGGGCTTACTGGCAGCTGTTGGTAAGCTTGTGCCAGGTCAATTTTGGCGAACACCTTGCCCCCAGCCAGTTTAGCCAACAGATGTGATATGACTGGAATGGGGTATGAGTTTCCCCTGAGTGCCTTATTGATAGTACATTTGTAATCTGCACAGATCCTGACTTCCCCATTTGCTTTAAGGGGCGTGACGATTGGAGTCTCCCACTTAGCAGAGTCCACGGGTGAGAGAACTCCCTGCTTGACCAATTTATCCAGCTCTGCTTCGATCTTGGGTTGCAGTGCAAATGGCACTCGCCTTGGTTTGAGTCGGATTGGGGCCACCCCAGGGTCCAACTCGAATTCAACTGGGGGCCCTTTATAACAACCCAGTTTTCCATTAAAGAGACCAGCAAATTCTTTGCATAATGCCTCGCTCATCTCAGGGCAGGTTTGGATTGAATTAAGCCCTGATATACTCAGTCCCAGGGCGGAGAACCAGTCAGTGCCCAGGAGACTGGGGCGACTGCCCTTCGCAATCACCAGTTTGAGTACAGCCTGTTTGTCCCGGAACTGTACTCTCACGGCACACATTCCCATAACATGGATGCGGCCCGCTGAGTATGGACTGCAAGGTTGCCGGGAAGGGTTCCAGAGGGGGCAACCTACCCCTGGGGAAGAATGTCCTCGCGGTCTGGTCCGACACGATAGTGAATCCAGATCCGGAGTCCACCTCCATGTCGCACTGCTGACCCTCAATCTTCACCTTGACGTGTGCCTTGCCTTGTGCTGGGAACTGCACGACCCTCCCGTTGATCTCCGTAACGTAGTGGCAGTCCTTTAGAAAATGGGTTGCTGCGGGCGGTCTGCGATGCTCCGGTCTAGGTGCTCCTGTCGCTCCCAACGCCGCCGATCTACAGACTCTGGCAATGTGGACCTGTCTTCCCGCACGTCCGGCACATAGCATCCCGGAAACGACAACTCTTCCGCTCATGGTTTCCGCCACAACCTGGGCACCTGCCTCGGTGATCTTTGTGCACTGTGCAGGCCTGACTCACTGACTCGACCCCACGGACTGGGCTCTGGCTCGGAGTAGCCTCTAGCTCGTCCATGGCATGCACAACTTCTATCTGTGGCTTAGGGGCCTTGCGACTGGCATCAAGCTCCTCTCTTTCATAATTCTCCGTGGCGGTGGCCTCCTTCAAGGCTGAAGCAAGGGTAACCTCTTCTTTAGCCACGATGCGTCTTCTGGCCTTCTTGCTGCTCAGACCACCGATAAACCGATCCAGGAGAGTCTCTTCCAGATTTTGGAAGTCGCAGTGCTGAGCGAGCTTCCGCAGTTCAGCCAGAAATGCAGATACAGACTCCCAGCATGCTGCTGCCTCTATGAAACTCCATCCGCCGAGCCATCTTGGTCTCAGTAGGCGCCAAGTGGCTTGTTAGGCAGGCAAGAATATCTTTGAGAGATGTCTCACTTAGCTTCGCTGGAGCAAGCAATGCCTTGGCCAGCTTGAAGGTCTCAGGCCCACAGTAGCTCAGGAATGTGGCCCTTCTTTTGCTGGCATCGGTGATCCCTTGAGCCTCTGCGAAGAACTCGAGCTGCTTCGACGTAGTCTTCCCACGTGTCGGGATCTGATGGCTGGAAGGGCTCCAATACCCTTGGACTCTCCATTGTCCTGTGGCAGGGTTGTCTTCTCAGCTGGTCAGTGAGTCTTGTTCTTAGCTGCAATCCGGACTCTGAGGCAGGGCTGCGTTTAACCGCTCCTCAGCATTCCGGATCCCATCCTCGTCGCCAGTTGTTGTGACGTGGGGTTTGTGATTTCAGCTCTCCTGATATAACATGCTGGAGACAGTTCTCTAGTAACACTTCTTTATTAAAGCACAAGACTGAAGACTGGGGAGAGGAAAGCTACATTTATAGGGACAGGGAACTAGCAAGAAAGGATACATTTTGGAGGGAACCAATAAGACAGAGGATCCAAATACAGCAGCTTAAATGAACCAATAGTAGCTGTACCCTCTGGAACCAAAAGGCAGTTACTTTACCCTAATGCAAATACAGACAGTAATAATACAGATATAAAATCCTTTGACTCAATACACAACAAGTGCGCACCCCGGAAATGATCTCTTTCAGCTTCTGCCTTCTGGAAGAAGGTACAGGGTTATAAAGACTAGGACTAGCCGCCTGAGAAACAGTTTCTATCCAAATGCGATTTTGGTTTTAAACACAGTGTAAGGTAGTCTCTATGGGAGTATATCATATTTAATTATGGGGTATCAGAGTTTTTAGGGGGCTAACCAGGTGGGATAGCTGGGATAGAAGGCTTGTTGGTTTTTGAATGTCTGATGTAGATTTTTCAATTTTGTTGTTCTGTATGGGACAATGACAATAAAGATTATCGTATCGTAAGGAACATTCAAAAGGACGTATCATTAAATGTTGCTGATTTTGTGAACTGATATTAAATGTCTTCTAATTTCATTAAAATGATTAAGGGTGTAATAATCATTAAAAGAAGAGCTTTGCGGAGTTAGGCCAAAGCCCGACTCCACCCTGCTGGTCTAGCCCAGCATACTGTTCCCATAATGGCCAACTCCAATGGGAAGTCCTGGGATAGCTCAGTGGGTAGAGAATGAGGCTCTTAATCTCAGGGTCGTGGGTTCGAATTCCACGTCAGGGGGTCAGACTAGATGACCCTGGGCTCCCTTCCAACCGTACATTCTATGAAAGCGGGACTCTCTTCATTGGGGATACCCAGCCACCGATACACGGAGGTGCAATCGCTAGCAGATGCTGGTATCATGTGGTTGCCAGGAGCCCCTTTGATAAAAACTGGGGAGTTTTGGACTCTCTTTCCAAAGCGCAACGGAGCGATGGCCGAGGAAGAAGCAATTGCGCCCCAATCTGGATGCGCGCAGAGCAATGGGTGCAATTCTGTGATGCTCTGCACCGTTAGGGTCGTGCTGCAGGATGAATGCGCGACCCGACGGGTCTACTTTTTTTTGCTTTTTCGCCTTACCTTTCCGGCCCTGGTGACCAGCCGGAAAGAGATCTTGCTTTAGGCTTTTTTTGGGTGTGTGTGTGTTGTGACGATGGTCAACTTGCTCTCTGCAAAGGTCCAAAGGAACTCTGCGGCCACATCAAGGAAAGCTACCGGAGGACGGAATCTCTCGTCTGCTTAATTTAAGGGATGCGGGTGGGAATCTGTGTTTAGAAGAGCAACGCCTGGGAATGGTTTTTCCCCATCCCTATCCGCCAGCTTGGAAATCCAGCCATGCAAACGCAGGCAGATAAGAGAGGAAGAGCCTCTATCCCGGGAAACAGTTTTTCTTTCTTTCTTAATTTGATAGAGTTGCATGCATTTAGCATTGGAATGGTCTCTGCTCGCAAGGCTTTCTGGGAGTTGTAGTTCACCGGCGCAATGATGCCCTCTCCCCAAAGTGGTTGGTCTCTCTCTCTCTCTCTCTCTCTCTCTCTCTCTCTCTCTCTCTCTTTGAAGCAGAAAAGCGTCTTTGAGATACGGAGCCCGTTTCAGAATTTTGTTTTATTAGGCAACGACAAAAGTGGCGTCTCTCCACGCTGATCAAAAATAAAAAGATTAAGAGTCAAAATCCTTAATCCAATAAGAGTCTGCTAACCTTAAATTGCACATTTGTAAGGGTTGTTTGTAATTTAAAAAAAATGAATTTAATGCCCCCTTTAATCAAATAAGCAACTAACCATGTCTATTGCGGGTTTTATTGGATTTTGAAAATAAACTTAATGCATTTAGAAACAAAACAAAACATGCAAGTCAGTTATTGTTGTCTTTTTAATTTGTTTCTGTTAGGGATTAACGATCCATGTTACAGAAATGTCTCTTTGATCTTGTGTTACCTAATTTTTGATTTAAAAATGGTTCGCAGAGGTGATAGGAAGAGTTTGCGAGAGGGGGAAATTGTATCAATAAGTTTGATATTGAAAGTGTGTAATAAAGGTAAAGGTAAAGGGACCCCTGACCATTAAGTCCAGTCGCGGCCGACTCTGGGGTTGCGGCGCTCATCTCGCTTTATTGGCCGAGGAAGCCGGCGTACAGCTTCCAGGTCATGTGGCCAGCATGACTAAGCCGCTTCTGGTGAACCAGAGCAGCGCGCGGAAACGTCGTTTATCTTCCCACCGGAGCGGTACCTATTTATCTACTTGTACTTGGTGTGCTTTCAAACTGCTAGGTTGGCAGGAGCAGGGACCGAACAACGGGCGCTCACCCCGTCGTGGGGATTTGAACCGCCGACCTTCTGATTGGCAAGTCCTAGGCTCTGTGGTTTAACCCACTGAAAGTGTGTAGTAGGATTGACTTATTTACAATAAATCGCTGTTAAAGCATTTACCAACAAGATTGGCAATGGTAACAGCAGAAATCTCTGACTCAGGGAAGGTACACATAGAATCCTTTCCCCTCCAAAACTCCTGGACCATGAATATCACTATTTTGTGTACATCTACTCAGACGTAAGTGCCATTTATTTAATAGAACTTACTCCAAGAAAAGTGCATGTTGGATTGTCACCTAAGAGATGCATGAACATAAAGCAATCCTTGTGCGGTGGGATGCTGTTAAAAGGTGCTAGACTGAAAGGGACTTTATAGGACCAACAAGTGTTTCAAAGACTGGAGGTTGAATCCTGACAAGACAGAAGTACTGTTTTGGGGGGACAGGGGGCGGGCGGTTGTAGGGGACTCCCTGGTCCTGAATGGGGCAACTGTGCCCCCAAAGGACCAGGTGCGCAGCCTGGGAGTCATTTTGGACTCACAGCTGTCCATGGAGGCGCAGGTCAATTCTGTGTCCAGGGCAGCTGTCTACCTGCTCTGTCTGGTACGCAGGATGAGACCCTACCTGCCCGCAGACTGTCTTGCCACAGTGGTGCATGCTTTGGTTATCCCCCGCTCAGCCTACTGCAATGTGCTCCACGTGGGGCTACCTTTGAAGGTGACCCGGAAACTACAACTAATCCAGAAAGCGGCAGCTAGACTGGTGACTGGGAGCGGCCGCCGATACCATATAACACCGGTCCTGAAAGACCTACATTGGCTCCCAGTACATTTCTAACATTCATTAATTTTGCAGTATTTCTGTAAATAGTTTTTAAATTTCTTCCAATCTTCTTCCACCGACTCTTCTCCCTGGTCTCGGATTCTGCCAGTCATTTCCTGAAAATGTATTTTTACTGCCAGGAGATGGAGACACGTTTGTAGGGTTTCCGTACAAAATGACAGGGCCTGCTTTGGGTACTACCTTGGCTTGCCATGCAGACGGGTCCTGTTTGCTGCTTCATTTCAGGCAACGGAATGTCTGAGGTCCTGCTTTTCGGAGGCAGGGGCCATCGTCATCTGGTGGCCACCATCACCGGAGGGGCTGGGATTTTTGCTCTAATCCCACGAGGCCCATTTCTTCTATTTATATGTCCTTGGGTAAATACGAAAATAATATTTCTCCAGGGCGGCTTTGTGGTTCTTGCATGGATTTGGGAGTACTTACGACTTCAAAGCAGCTTTTGATGTCCCAGAAGATGGGGCACCAAGGAGCTTTCATCATCCTTAGGGGGACATCCTCAAAGCACGGAAAAATGGTGCCCAAATCTGACTAATTTAAGGACATGAAAGGGTTGGTTCTTTCCCAACCTCCTGCTGCATAAAAGTAATCTTTTGTCAGTCCCCAAGTGACAGCATCGCTAATATTCTGACATTTGCTCCCAGTATGAACCATATATGCAGACAGACTGCAAAGAGGCTATAATCTACCCCACTGAGCCACCCATACCAAATTCACTTTGTCAAGCTACTTTAAAAAAACAATAACCATATTTTTCCATGTATAAGACGACCCCCTCTTTTTTTTAACCCAAAATTAGAAACCAACATTTTAAAGATCAAACAGAACAACTCTGAGCTTCTATTGGGGAGGTCACCCAAAGTCATTGAGCTTTATTGAGGGAAGTTGACCAAAGTTGAGCCTTTATTTTTATTTTTTGCAGAGGTCGCCCAGAGTTGGGGTTACCATATCTCAAGAGCATTCACCATCCCTGTATAAGCCAACCACCAATTTTTTGTTGTTGTTGTTTAGTCGTGTCCGACTCTTTGTGACCCCATGGACCAGAGCACGCCAGGCACTCCTATCTTCCACTGCCACCTGCAGTTTGGTCAAATCATGCTGGTAGCTGCGAGAACACTGTCCAACCATCTCGTCCTCTGTCATCCCCTTCTCCTTGTGCCCTCCATCTTTCCCAACATCAGGGTCTTTTCCAGGGAGTCTTCTCTTCTCATGAGGTGGCCAAAGTATTGGAGCCTCAGCTTCAGGATCTGTCCTTCCAGTGAGCACTCAGGGCTGATTTCCTTAAGAATGGAGAGGTTGGATCTTCTTGCAGTCCATGGGACTCTCAAGAGTCTCCTCCAGCACCATCATTCAAAAGCATCCATTCTTCGGCGATCAGCCTTCTTTTTGGTCCAGCTCTCACTTCCATACATCACTACTGGGAAAGCCATAGCTTTTTTTACTTTTTTTTTATATAGCAAAAAGCATTGTCTTATAAACGGAAAAATATGGTCATTTTGGAGGTTGCGTCGGAAGGTGACCATGTGAATTTAATTACACTTGTTCTTGGCAGAAAGGACATGCCACATGTGCATGTATGCTTCATATCTGTTTTATTACATGGGGTTTACTCAGCTCTCACCTGTGGCTCCGAGAAGCTGTCAGCATGCGACAGCAGCCACTTCCTGGGAAACAGCTTTGACTGGCCGGCTAAACCAGGTGAGGGTAGCTGATGGGTCTCAAACCCTCAGTGAGTTAGGGTTTTCCCCTGAATGCAAAGAGAGGCTCTTGTAGATTGAGTGGATGAGACCAATAGTGGGTCCAACGGCCAAGAAGGAGCAGGTCTGTATGAGGGAATTTAAGAAGAGTCCAGTTGAATCAATGACCCATCTTGTCCAGTGTCCTGTTTTTACTGGGGCAAACCAGATGCCTGCCGAAAATCTGCAAGCAGCAATCGAATGCAAGAGCAACTGTCCCCTCCTGTAAAGGTAAAGGTAAAGGGACCCCTGACCATTAGGTCCAGTCGTGGCCGACTCTGGGGTTGTGGCGCTCATCTCGCTTTACTGGCCGAGGGAGCCGGTGTACAGCTTCCAGGTCATGTGGCCAGCATGACTAAGCCGCTTCTGGCGAACCAGAGGAGCGCATGGAAACGCCGTTTACCTTCCCACCGGAGTGGTACCTATTTATCTATTTCAAGCTGAGGGAGCTGGCGTTTGTCCACAGTCAGCTTTCCGGGTCATGTGGCCAGCATGACTAAACCGCTTCTGGCACAATGGAACACCGTGATGGAAACAAGAGCGCACGGAAACGCTGTTTACCTTCCTGCCGGAGTGGTACCTATTTATCTACTTGCACGTTGACGTGCTTTGGAACTGCTAGGTGGGCAGGAGCAGGGACCGAGCAACGGGAGCTCACCCCGTCGTGGGGTTTCAAACCACCGACCTTCTGATCGGCAAGTCCTAGGCTCTGTGGTTTAACCCACAGCACCACCCGCGTCCCACTTCCCCTCCTGTAGTTTCCAGCAACTGGTATTCAGAAGCTTGTGACAGCTGGCATGGTCCTGATCCACTGAGGGGTCTACCTTTCAGAGCCAGGATCCAGGAGTTTGTGG